TCTGTGTGAATGGCTTGGTTTCGGTTTTAACCTAATCAAGATCTTCTCCGCATTGAGCTTCTATATTTCTCTAATATTTTGAATGAATAACGCAGCAACTGCGCGTCTTGTGGGCTAGACTAGCAAAACATTAAACTACAACGTCACTTGCATCATCACCTGACGCACATCTAACATTGGATTGTACTATTTTTGCATTCAAATGCAAATGTTTATTTTAAATTCGACTAATATTCATTCTTTACTTACAATCTCCTCATCACAGGCAGGTACAGCCCTCATGTTCGTGTTTGTGTGTGCTGTCTGCATCACTCATAGCACGTGCCTATATCGTGCACTATATTTAATTTTTTTAATATCGTTATCGAAGAAGGTGTACCGTCGATAAATATCGATACCGTTTTATCGCCCAGGCCTAGCACAAACAAATTAGATCTCTGAGGACCTCAGAAAAAGAGTTGCTCATCAGGCTAGAAAAGGTTTCAAAGCCATCTCTAAAGAGTTTGGACTCCACCAATCCACAATTAGACAGACAAATGGAGGAAATTCAAGACCACTGTTACCCTCCCCAGGAGTGCTCTACCAACAAAGAACACTCTAAAAGCAAGATGTGTAAAAGTCCACTAGGATTCAAAGGACTGCAGGCTAACTTCTAACATAGCGTTATGTTTGGAGAAAGAAAACACTGCATTCCAGCATAAGAACCTTATCCCATCTGTGAAACATGGTGGTGGTAGTATCATGGTTGGGGCCTGTTGTGCTGCATCTTGGGCCAGGATTGATGGAACAATGAATTCTGAATTATACCAGCAAATTCTGAAGGAAAATGTCAGGACATCTGTCCAAGAACTGAATCTCAAGAGAAAGTGGGTAATGCAGCAAGACAACGACCCCAAGCACACAAGTCGTTCTACCAAAGAATGGTTAAAGAAGAATGACGTTAATGTTTTTGAATGACGGATTCAAATTCTGAACCTTAATCCAATTGAAATTGTGGAAGGACCTGAAGCAAGCAGTTCATAGGAGGAAACTCACCAACATCACAGAGTTGAAGCGGTACTGTACTGAGGAATGGGCTAAAATTCCTACAAGCCGTTGTGCAGGACTGATCAGCAGTTATAATAAACGTTACTTGCTGTTATTGCTGCATAAGGGGGTCACACCAGATATTGAAAGCAAAGATTCATACTTTTGCCACTCACAAATATTTAAAGGGATCATATGATGCAATTTCAATTTTTCCTTTCTCTTTGAAGTGCTGCAAGCTCTTGGTGCATAAAGATCTGTAAAGTTGCAAAGACTAAAGTCTCAAATCCAAAGAGATATTCTTTATAAAAGTTAAGAGTCAACCACGCCTACCTAAAACGGCTCGTTCTAACACACCCCCACATGTCTACGTCACGATGTGGGAAGA